GGTCCAGAGCCTCCTCTCCCCACCAACCTTTGCAGCCTGGAACCCCAGCCCTGTGTACTGATTGTGTACAGTACAGCCTTTGGGCTGAGCCAAGATATCACCCCTGAGAGTTCCTCAAGAAACCACTTATCAGCACCTTGGACAGCGTACAAAGGGCTCTATAGCTCCAGGTAAAGGAGGGCTCTTCAGTTCCTTGCCATGACAGATGGGTCGCTGCTAAGATACTTTGCAGAAGGCATGAAAAAATCATTCCGTAATTTCTAATTTCTTAGACTATACAGGAAAAGGAGTAAAAGCCAACCACGAAAAAAACTTTCCACATGTATAGCTCTCATTCTCCACTTCCATCTGAAAGCTTGGTAAAAGTTTGGGATGAAAAAAACAAATAAGGATGATACTCATTCCAACAAGTGTGATTTAACCCAGTGGCATATTTCATTGGACTGGATGATTTGTCGGCTCTCCCTCTACAGCACTGTTACAATTATAGCTATTCTTAGGGGCATACTTCATTCTGGACCCTTTATTTCCAAGGAGGAGAAAAGAGCAAAACTCAAAGCTTTATCATCTGGCTCTGGTTTGTAGAACACAACAGGCTGCCTTCTGGGCACATCCAGAAAGCTATGGGAAACCAGAGCTCAGGGACAAATACACATGGCACTGAGCTCCTCCAGCCACCTGGTAGAAATGGTGCTATTTGCATGAAGAAAAGAAGGTTGCTGGCCCTACTATTGATCTTCCAAGAAATTTTCATCATCTGGCCAACAAAGGATGAAGTACTTCCTGGAAAGAGACAGGTGTAGTTACCTGCCCTCCCAGAGCTCACAGGAAAGAAGACAATTACTACTGTATGCCATTGTTATGAAAAATAATTTCTTTGTATAGGATTTATTAAATTCAATTTAGCAGAAGATAAAACTGAGAGGTTCAGAGAGGTTGTTCAACATTTTTTTCTGTAACCAAAACTGAATTCTGACTGGATTAAACAAGAAAGGCAATATATTGAGTCAAATGACTAAAAAGTCTAGGAGCGGGTTGGTCTTCACATATGGCTCTATCGAGGAGATAAAAGATGCCATGACTGTCCACCTTTGGCCTTGGCTTTCCTGTGTTGCCACCTCTTGCCTCCATAGAACACAGGCTGTTCCTCTTGGTTACAAGGTAGTGACCGCAAACTAGCCTCATCTTCCTGGCCTGGCAAACCCAGTGGAGTGACAGCTTTCCTTCCTTGTTATGTTCAACAAAAGTTCCACAAATGATGCCCATTTGTCTTGAACTCCAAAGCAAGCCTTGTGGCCAGGGAGGTGGAATAAGCACTGACCCACTAGCCCTGATTGGAGGGCCTGCAGCTGACGCTGGACTGCCCGATATCACACTGATTGATAAGCAAGGCAGGGTGATTCACCAGTGAAACAGGACTAAGCTGCAACTAAGGGAGTCAAGGACACTGGTAAGAGGCCAGGGATTTAGCTCAGCGGTGCAGCACCTGCTTGGCAGGGTCCTGAGTTTGATTCCCCAGCGCCAAAAAGGGGTAGGGTATGGGTAGACAATAAAATCCAGTGTCCAATACATCACCCTTTTGACAAGTGGCCATATTCTTCCCACTACCATATGTGTGAATTACTTAGCTGGGAACCTAACAGATCCTATGTACTTTGCTTAGCCTCTGCTTTGAGACCACGCTACACTAATCACAGAGATAATATTTTATGTCCCCATTGGGATGTGAAGGAGAAGAACAGAAAATTGTGTTAGGTAACTGAGACTCAAGCTTCTCAGAAACAGCCATTTTCCTTCTTTGGGCCGATGACAGGAAAGAAATCAAACAAGACATATTCTTTGCCCCTTTGCCTGAGAAACCCACATATAAAAAGATATGCATTGACCGTGTTTAAAGTCTTATGCAATACATCAAGAGCAAAAGAAGATATCACAAGTGAGAAATAAAGGGCTAATTAAGCCCACTATCTTGCCATCAGGGAATAAGGACTCACTGAATCATTTTTATGATATGTTCTAAGTGATTTAGACACATGGTCTCTTCCTTCAATCTTCACAACAATCCCATGAGTGTACAGCGTTAAAGCAGCCATTCAGTCCAGGCCTGGTGATGTTATGCAGCTTACGTCGTCTGCACACATAACAAATGGAAAACCTAGGATATGAACTTAGGTGTTTCTCATTTGAAATTAGTGGTCTTGATCACTGCAAAAATCTGTATGAACTTCTATTCTTGCTAGGAAACAAAGTAGTTTCCTAGAGCAGATAGAAATTTAAATAGTGTATCAGTCAAAATTTTGGTTATAAATGATAGAGGTCCCATGCGTATTGAATTAAGCAAAAATATATAAAAAATTTTTTGCCTCATGTAACTGAAAGACCCAAGGAGAGATAGGACTTGGGGCAGAGGCTGATTAGGGACATATGTATTGTCTGCGGGACTCACTGTGTCTTTTGTCTGTGTTGGCTCCATTTTCCTGCATGCCCTTCCCTTGGTGTGGAAAGATTGTTGCCAGCTGCTGGAAGCTGGCAGTTTCCTAGTTTAAATGTCTCAGTAGAAAGGGGGCATCAGAAAATCACCCCCAAAAATTCAGACTCAAGCATTTTTGGGCCATCTAGAGTAATGTGCCCCTACTGCAAGCCAGATATATACCAATTGGCTGTTTCTAGGATCAGGGGCAGCAATCTGATCACCTTTACTACAGGTAGCACAGACAGAAAGGAAGAGGGGATTTAGCAATATAAAATCAAGTTGCTATTATCAACAGAAGGGCATTAGATATTAAATCAAGAACAGTTGATAGCTGCATTAGTTGCCTATTGTGCTTGTCAAACCACCCAAAATGTGTAGCTTAAAACAGCCACCGTTTATTTAGCACAGGATTCTGTGGGTGGTTGGTAATTTGAGCTCCTTCATACATCTGTGAACAGATGCTGGGTCAATGTGGGACCAACTGGCCTAGGGCCCTCAGCTGGGATGGCCCAGCTCTGTTTCACACATTTTCTCAGCCTCCAGCAGTCTGTCTCAGGCTCTTTCACGTGGTGGCAGGTTTCTAAGATAAACAAAAATAATCCAGGCACTTTTAATGCCTGTTTGCATCCCATTTCCTAACAACCCACTGGCCAAAACAAATCATGTGATAAACCTGGAGTCAAGATTAGGGGGTCCTCACAGTTACACAGCAAGGGACCTATGGATTTTTGCAATCTATCAGTGTGGGCCTTCAAACAGCACTAGAACAGTGTGTAGCACATAGAAGGCACACACATCAACAAAATCTTGTCATTGACAAGCTTAAGATGAGGGAAGGGCAAAGAAGGCCTTCAGGCACAGAAAACAGTACCTGCCAATGTCCACATGGTAACTATGGGGTTTTTTTAATGCTAGTAAGTTTTAATGCCATGGGTGAAACAGAGTAGGAGGCAATGGTGGGACCTGAGGACGGTGAGTGCTGAGCTTAGGATTTGGACTTCTCCCTGCACTGGGGAATTGTTGAAAGTGTTTGAGCAGAGCCATTGTTGAATTAGCAAAACTTGTGCAGGGCATTAATGGGTAGCCTCAGGCAGTTACACTTCTCTGGAGGACAAAATCCAAACAAAGGAGAAAATGTGACATCCTTAAACACACGGAACTACTCCAGTGTACTATGTTCCAAGGGGCCAACACTGAGTTCAAAACTTCTTCTCTGCCTTACAGTGTCCCAGATCCTTCTGAAACAAGGATTTGGAGACACTGCATGCTTAGCACCAGGCCAATGCAGCTTGCATGCAGCCTCCTCTGACACCTGAGACCAGCTGGCCCTAGTGGTCCTGACACTTCCAGATGTTTCTTGTCAGTCTTTAGTGCCCTAGAAGCTCTTTTAAAATGCAACTGGAGACTGGATAAAGAGGATGTGGATTTTTTAATAAAATGGAGTACTACTCAGCCATAAAGAATGAGAAGCTAGAGAGATTCATAGCTAAGTGGATGCACATTGAGGCCATACTCTTAAGAGAAATTAATAAGTCACACATGTGTAAGTACTAAATAGTTTCTCTGGTGTGAAAAAGCAAAAGTGTAAATAAGAATTAAAATGTATAATTGATATTGTGTAATAGGAAGAAATGGTCTAAGGAGTAGAGCAAGTAGGAGGGGAAAGGTAAAAAGAGAAAAGAAAAAATATGTGAAGAGGAAAAACATGGAAACAAAGTCTTTGTAAATAGGGAAGGGTGGAGGGGCTGAAGGGAGGGCTAGGGAATGGGGAAAAAATAAGAACCAAGATACGTAGTGTGAAGGTACAAGATCCCAATGATGACTGTAATATTGTACACCTAAAATGTAGCAATAAATTAAATAAAGAGAAATAAAATGCAATTTTGGCTTTAATTCCCATCTACTGCTGTGTTCTGAAATCCAAACCTCCTCCACAGTTGACCCCTCCTGGTCTTTGTCTGCCCCTCCCATGTGATACTAGGAAATAGTTTGTTCTGCAAGCTTCTTGGCAAGTGCCGAAGAGGCCCGTGTCAGGTGTCATCTCTTTGTGCACAACTCCGTGCTCTATCGCAGGCTCTGCAGGCTTTAGAAATGGATCATTTTTGGCTCCTGATTTGCTTGCACCTTGCCTCTCAGTAGAAATACTTCAGCCTGAGTTAGCTTGCTGATTTATTTATATGTGTCTCTTAGCAAACAAAATGAATGCTGACCTGTGGCAAACAACAAACCCACAGGCCACGTAGTGTTTTTGAGAAACAATAAGCATTGTATCCATACATCCAAATGCAGCCTAGGACAACCTTCACAGCAGCACTGTGGAGGTGACGCCTCATCCACGTAGCCAGCTCGCTGAGGCCGAAGGAGGGGTATGCAGCTCCCAGGGCTCATTGCTACAACTCCCAGGTGTCTGTTGCTACAACTGTTCCTTCATCCCGTTTTCACCTAATAGTTTCCTTTGGGGTGGAAGGCAAGAAGAGCACACTGCAGGGTCCTATTCTAAACACTTTGTGTATTTTGTCTCATTTAGTCCTTCCAAGAACCTTTGAAGAAATTGAGGCACAGAGAAATGTATGGACCTACTAGAGCTCCCAGGTGAGTGGTAATGCTTCCTTCATGATTAAATGCTCAGACTTAAAGTGAAGCTAACAATAAGTGAATATTTTAAATAAAGTGAGTTTAAGCAAAGGGAAAACTGGTAAATCTCATCCGAAAGAGCAGGGAACAGCTCAAGCCTTATATTTGCATCAGAATTTAAAGATGCTCTGCCTCTCTTCTTCACTAATGGAGAAGCATCGTCTCCCTACTCTGACCTCCCTCTGGAGATGCCCCATACTTGTTTCTGTCATCACTTCTTTTTTTAATAAAAAGCTAAGTGACAGAATTTTTAAAAATTAATGTTATTGGTACATATTTGACATACATAATCATCACTAGTGTAACGCTCATCACCATTCATCTTTCTGTCTTCCTTGGTAGAAGTGAGTTTTCAGGGCCTGGTACACAGCAGATACTGAGTACTTGGCACGAGGCCCAAATTAATTAATTAATTAATTTAATTTTTTTTTTCTTTTTTTGTTTTTTTGAGACAGGGTCTCACTATGTAGTTGAGACTGACCTGGGACTCACTATGTAGCCCAGGCTGGTCTTGAACTCCCAGTGATCCTCCTGCCTCAGCTTCCCGAGTGCTGGGATTACAGGCGTGCACCCCCACACCCGGCACAAGACCCAAATTTAAAAGTGTTCTATATTTGTCAACTCTGTGCTACTACAATGGAATGTCTGAGGCAGCTAACTTGATAACAAGAGGAGGTTTAATTAGCTTACAGTTTTGGAGATTCAAGGGCATGGTACCTGAATCCGCTTAGTTCTGAGAAAGGCCTTCTCATCAGCGCAAAGGGGTATGTATGTGGAAGAGCGTTACTAAACAACAAATGGGAGCAGGGTGGGAGGAGAGAGAGAGAGAACTACAATCCCTCCGAAGAGCATCACCTCCTACTAGTACCACCCTGGAAACCAAACCTTCTTAGGGGACCTAATAAAACAATAAAGCCTCATCCAAGCTGCAGCTAGTCACTGAGTTCTAGTTTAGGTTCATAATTGCAAGGATTATGAGCAAGTCATTGCCCCTGTTACCCCATAAAGAAAAACTTTAGATAGCAGGCACCACTAGTTGCTTGCCCAGACCGCAGTAAACTCAGAAAAGTTGTATTACAGAATCCTGAGTTCAGGACCCAGAGACTGGAAGGCATGAATGCTCAACTGCGTGCGGAGGTGGGCCTTCCCTGCGGGAAGTGTCTGTCTCCCCGTGCCCATGCTGTGCCACATTTCTCTGGCTGCCATGTGCAACAGAGAGTTGCATTGGGTTTGCCACCACGCTTCCCTGAACTACTACGTCATCCTAAGGCTGCCATGGTGGACCGGGCAGCATCTGTTGTTCCAGGCACCCAGCTGGTTTTGCTGGGGGGAACTGGTGAGGGTTACTTTCCTCCTGCTGTGTGTCTCGCTCAGGAATGCTAAGCAGGCAGGGTGGGAAGCGGTCGGTGACTTTGAGCTTTAGGGGATCACATCCCTAACCCTGAGTCTTGGGCACTGGGGTAGATGGAGAAATCATCTGAATTTCTGACACCCTCCTCTGAGGTCTTCTGCTCATGCTCAGCATTCCATGAGTGACCCCAGACAACTGGTTTTAAGTCACAGTTCCTTCTTCTGTGACCAAGGGTGAGTAACTAGATATCCCTGAGCCACAGTTTCATCCCTGAGGCACAGACGAAGGGGAGGAAGAATAGATACCTGGCAAGGTCGTTTTAAGATCCTAAGCTTTTTTTTAAAATTCCAAAATGAAGTGAATCCTCTCTGTACTCTAAATACCTGAACCCCTCGAGCACATCTCTCTGCAGTCACTGATCACCCCTTGTAAACATGTCCAACCCTATCACACTGTCCTGCTTTATTTTCTATGTAGCACTTGCCATCACATGTCTAAGATCTTTATTATTTGTGCGTATTATATGATTGGAAAACGTGTGTAGCATACTGACTGACTTCACCCATGCATTGTTAAGTGGTGTGCCTTTCTTCCACTAGCACCTGAGTCCCTAAAGACTTGCCAGTCTTGGTGCCTGCTGCTCTCCAGACACCTTGGTCAATGCCTGGCATACAGTAGGCGTGTGAGAACGAACAGTTGCATGAGTGAATATTAAATCATTTTATAAATTTTTAAAATGCTCTTTAGAAGTTATGGGTTACTATGACTATTAAAGTCAGGCCAGAGGCTGCAAATAGAATAGATATTCCTGAGTTTAGGTGTTCAAGGAAGAAAGAAAGAGTCTACTCAGAATATGTTGGGGAAACCATGCCAAGTACTCCCCAGCTATCGCGCATAGAAATTCAGCTTCTCCCAAGCTGTCCTCATTGCCAACATAACTTCCACATAGTGAATGCTCTCTGTCTGGCACTGCATTAAGAATGAGGAAAACTATCATTTATTTATTTTTTTAAGACAGGGCTGCACTATGCAGTTCAGGTTAGCATTCAATTTACTATATACCCAGTGCTGGCCTTGAACTCATAGCAATTCTCCTGCCTCAGCTTCCCAAGTGAGTGCTTGGATTAGAGGCACATGCCACCACACCCAGCTTATGGCAAGAGATTTATTTGCTTTTAATATCATTTTATTTGCATTTACACAAAAAAATGTACACACATATATACACGCACGCTTTGTCTGAATTTGAGTTCCTCCAAAAAAGATCGTGACACAGATATCAAGGTGCACATAGTTTATTTGGAAATTGATCCTAAGGAGTGATGGTGGTGGGTTAAGACAGGGAAGGGAAAGAAGCCAGCATCAAGTAGCAGCTGTGGGCACCTGAGGCTCAGTTCGCTGGGCTCCTCAGAAAGACAGTGTGGAACACACCTCAGCACTGCCTCTTCCAAGGAAGTGGAAGATGTGATATTTATCCTCCAACTCCTGCCCATCACCCAACAGAGTCAACTCCTGGCATTTTTTTTTTTTTTTTTTGTACCAGGGATCGAACTCAGGCCCTTGTGCTTGTGAGGCAGGCATCAGAACCACCAAGCTAAATCCCCAGCCCCCTGGTCTGCCCAATTTTAAGCTGCACAGGTCTTCCGACCACAAAGTCACTGTGATCATAAAGAAGCAAAAGTGGCAGTTTGGGGCAGTAACCCCAAAGGGGATACAAGCAGAGAAAGGATGGCTTCTAGTGTGCCATCTCAAGGGAGGACACTGACAACTGAAGTCTCTTGCTGCTGGACTCAGGTGTGTGTGAGGAGCATGGAGGTAAGACTGTGGGGGAGACTAAAGCTAAACTTCTCTGAGAGCACAGGGTGAGATGCGTGGGTCCCAGAGGGAGCCCAGGGCTCAGGGGCACAGAGAGTGAGATGATCTGACAGTTGGTAGCCCAGGACAGTCTTAAATGGAAAAGATGTCTCTAGAGACTCTGATGTACACTGCAATGTCTCTCTCGCCAGCAGAATCTTTCGTGAGTGTGCGTTGTTTCGTGAGATCGTGTTCTAGATGTGAAGTAGGGAAAGCTCTGGAAGAGCTCTTCTTTGACATCTGGTGCAGGCTGAGCCAGTCAGTGGCACATGAAGATAGCTAACATCCCAACAAAGCATTCATATTCTCTTTTAATCCTGACTATTGCAGTTTCTCCATGTTACCTCTCCATGTTAGCCCCAGTAATGTTGCATAACAAGCTACTCCTGAGACTTAGTGGTTTAGAATGAAGTGCACTCCATTCTCTAGTTTGTGGACCTGCAGACTAGTTTGGAAAAGGCTCAGCTTTGAGCAAGAGCGTGTCTCCACACTCCTGGTTGGGTTCCATTGTGTTCCCTATGTGTCCTCTTTCTTTGTAGAGCAGGCACTGGAAAGTGCATGCTGTTCCAGCAGTAGAGCACAGGAGAGGGGAGGCAAAGCAAACCTAGGGAGCACTCTATGATCTGTGCTCACACTAGGTTCATAGCATTCCACTGGCTCAAACAGGCCACGTGGCAACTCACAAACCAGCCCTTCTTACAAGGTAATAAAACACACCCCTGTGCACAAGTGTACCTTTCATTTCACATACATGGCAGAAAGAGGGTGTGAAGAACTGGGGACAACTACTACGGTGCCTTCTTACCCCATAGGATGAGGTAGCTTAAAACAGCTAAACTATTTTCCTGAAGCCAAAAACCTTGTATGCGATGCAACTGGACTCTGGAGCAGCTTTGCCTGACACCACATCTTAATATGATGCGCTTCCCTGCTAGAATGCAAGATGAGCTAACCTCCTTAGGGCAGGGGCTCTTCACACGCTCCGCAGTGTGCAGCACCCATGA